CAAATAGTATTTGTGACCTTTGACTTTATATATATCATATTATTTACAAATCAAAATACACTGCAATCGCATAAGGTACAACTAAACTACATCGAATCAACTATGCACTATTTGGACAATTAAGTATTCAGACACTATTTTGACTTGCAAATTATAGTAAAGCAGATGTACTTAGAAGAAAAATTTTGTTCCTAGTACCTTTGCTTCCCATTGTAGATAATCGTCGTGCCGCACACGCCAACATTAAAAATAGTATCGGAGTCAGGAGTGTCGATGGACGGTGAATTCGAAACTATGATAGTCGCACGCTAGATATCTTCATACATTTTATAGGAGTGTTTTGTAATTTGTATTTACATAAATACGCGTCGTCAGCAAAGTGTGTATTTTTTGAAACCCACCTAAAAGTGTATTTTTTTCAGGAAGTTATTAGGGTTTAGGGTTTAGACTTGCTGCATTCCAAATCCGATTTTTTTGGGTATAGGGTTTCGGGTTGACCCTACTAAATTTTTTGATTCCGTGTCGTAAAGCAGTCCGAGAGACCCTATCCAGACTCACTCCAGAGGCCATAACTTTTACGTATTTGTTATGATGATAGTTTAATATTTACAAGCACAGAGATACAAGCCGCACTTCTTCGCAGAACAGGTACGCGCAGCTGGAAAGACTGACCTCGTGTGCTTCAAAGATACGTCGTCTATCTATCAGCCTGGGAATTGTCCAATCAGACTGAACGCACATTCAATACACGTGCTCCTCAACTACGGAAGTTTCGTGGCCATCCAGATAGATCTGATGGTGAGGCTATGTAGATAGATCTGGTGGTGAGGCTATGTAGATAGATCTGGTGGTGAGACTATGCATGCGGCATAAATTGCTATTAGAATATATGGAATGTATTTTCAAGATCGATCGATAAATAGTTCAGAAGCACTAACTCGTGATTAGGGGATATAGTGCACTTATCACCGATTTCAAAGTGCATGTAAAAACTTACCCTGCCGTAAACGACGATGGCCATTTCCAACGGCACTAGTACCTTTCTGTTGCCGAAGGCGCAATCGATACAGGGCAGTTCCGGAAGACGAAGATCTATTCTGTGCTTCTAATCAATCAATAAAGTAATGGTATGGCTTATCATCTTTTAAGGAAGGTACTGTGTTTGAAAGAAATCATTTCGCGGACGTGTTCTAACATTCATTGCACACCTTACGAAAGTATGACTGCACCGTATCCAAGTGCATGCCATCATTCCCTTTCCATTCGAAGCTGAATTTGTCCGCTGATCGACCCAGGCCACGAGCGTGGAATTTTTTATCAGGCGCAAGATGGGTGGCTCTGAACCGGATTCCATTCAACGCCTCCAACGCAAGAGCATATTTTCCGCTGGATTCGTCACCTAGAATATCTGCAAGAGCTTTCTCGGAATTGACACCACAAACATGCTGCAGATATTCCAGTACCGGTGTTCCAGGGTTGGGCTTCAGATCGCCATCCAACATTATAGATGAGGATTTGTGCACTGAAGTCTCACCCTGGCAACAATGCGAGCTTTGGGCAAAACAGCCTTAGTATAGTAACCTGCTAACCGTAGCGTAAAAGATCACACTTTTTGGAACCATTAGTTAATTGCCGGTGTCTTGGAACTTCCTCTTGCTTTTATACAATTCTTATGCTAAACTTGAGCGCTAGATTCGCTACTGCGAACGCAAAATCAATTCAACTGTAGTTTTTAGAATATGTACAGTTCTGAAATGAAAAAAACGATATGAGGTACGACTGTACTGTTTCTATTTGGAAACCACGATAGAAGGAATGCAATGTGCATATTTCGTAGTTTCACATACATACAAATCTAAATGCATGTTATTGGTTATATACATACACAAACACACTCAACACAACTAGAACTTTACAGATTCGAACACCCAAACAGTAAAAGTATCCCTTTTAGTCTGTTCGCACATGTTTGTCCACTAAATTAATATATAGTAGACAAAAACTCAACAATGCATATATAGGCCAAAACTCTATAAAATTATTGTATATGCATAGCGACATTCAAACACATTTGCATACTAAACGTACACAGGCAGGCAGATATGGCACCGAATACATCATGCACACAAATATAGAATCATAAAATATATACGCCTGTATACAAATGTACGCTTGAGTTTTCTGATCTGTCACAATCCCTTTAAGCATTTTTAATACGTGCGCGTTATATCTATGTGAAGAACCAGTCACTGTGGTCTGGAACAGCCAGCAGCAGCGTATGATATTATAGTACTATTCGCCATATATGCTTGGTTTAATAATATTGCCCACACACTCTGCACTCCACAAACCGCACAATCAAATGCTTAACTTCAAGTACGTGTATATACCGTGCATTTAAGCAGGACTGGGGATGGCGTGTGTAATTTCGGCTCTATGTACACATAGTGTGTGCTTTAGGTGCAACTCTGTCAGAACATGCCCATGGTTATCAACAGTACCACACGAAGAAGTGTGTGTGCGCACTTTCTGCACTTCACAATGTGGACTAGATTTGTATATATATAAATATATAAATATCCCAATGATCATATTCTCATCTCAAATAATTCGTATTTGCATGAACACATATATTTAATGGCTCATTTCCAAAGCATGTGATACTGCCAGATAACAACAAACGATACAAGTTCTCTCGTTCTGCCCACACAAGCAGTCACATATACAGCACAGGACGACAACACAATACCGGCCACGTTATGATTGTTCCATGGCGAGAAAGCAAATAAGTTCACAATGGCTTATAGCCACAAAAGTCGCCGGTAAGTCCAGCATGCTACCACACTGTAAAACCCGACGCACGCGCTTATATTCTTTTGTACTGTTGTGTATACGTACGCATAACTTCATACACACATGCAATCAATTCGAAGACTTTAAATTACATACTGATAAAAATGATATGCACAGTTTTTATTTCAAAAGCACGTTTCACAATATATGCCGATCATTCCCGACTGAGTGGTTCCGCAGCAGATGACACTGCCGCAGCCAGTGGCGCACGTGCTCAGGTTGTTCCCCACACACTGGCCGCAGAAGACCTTTCGGCAACTCACCCGTGCACATTCGTAGACTACATCTTCTGTGTGTAGCTTGCACACAACATGTGCACACGAGTCGCAATTGTACCACTCCCCAGGGCCCGCAGCCACGTAACAGTCATCGCATATCACCGTATCCTGCCCTTCCTTGATATTCCTTGTATCTGTGTTTGCCCTATGCGTGGTTGCATTCTCTGTATTGTTGGTAGAGGTAGACACTTCTGCATCCCGGTCCGTATCGGCTACCGCTGTAGCCTTGTGTGTGTGTGTGTTCATATATCTGTCCTTCATGTGCCGTTTCAGGGTGTCCAGATGTGCTTCTGTATACGATGGATCATACGCACGCTTGTTGCTACCCTTCACTTGTTTCAGTATTTTGCCCTCCTTCAGCTCATTGCGTTCCGCTGCCAGCTCCAACTGAAGGTCCAGCATGATGCGGTTGTGTTTGGATTCTAATCGTCTGAGTTCGTTTGACTGTCTGCGTTTCGTTTCTTCTCGTTCGGCATCACAAAGTTTCCTTTGCATTATCAATCTATCTGCACGTGTGCATTAAACGTGATTTAAAGATGAACATATTATTCAACTTGGATCACTCTTATAAAAGTACATCGAATAAGTCCACTATGTATATAAAAGCTTCACAGATTTGGTATCCTGAGCTGGCTACGAGTGAATGATGTATGGTAAATACCCCGGTAGAAGACT